CATTCTCACTCTTCTACTCATTTTCAACCACACATTCTTCAATAAAATAATATTTTCCATCACATCAATAACTTTTTCTTCATTTTTAACCACACTTTCTCCATCAATCTACTATTCAATAATACATTCTTTAAAAAAAAAAGTGTCCCAAACACACTCTAAGTTTGTTTTTCAATATAACTTATCCCATATGTTTCTTTTAGTAAAACTTACTAAGATGAATGGCTGGCTTATGTAAATTCACTTTGCATTCCCTTGTAACCTTGAGGGGTTGCTTAATTGGTCAGACCTTGGATTTGCTCCCCAATGGTCACTAGTTCGAGCCCCCTCAGGGCCACTGAGGTGAGTACCCGACCGTAAATTTTAGGGTCCTGTGGGATTAGTCGAAGTGCGTTCAACCTGGCCCGAACATCCATGGTTATATAAAAAAAAAAAATTGCATTCCCTTTTCATTGTTAGCCACCTAAACTCTAATGATCTTGTGGTTTTCAAATGGTGAACTTTTTAGGTTAGGAGCTCATCTTTCTTTGGTTTTAATATGGTCAATTTCAAGGTCATGATTAGGTGTCCTCTATGATGTTCTAAGAGATGGTTGTATGTTATGGTATAATTCCTTTCAATTTACTAAGTGACTTAAATCACCCCTTCTCTAATACAAGTGCTAACTTGTAGTCTCGTTCTGATTGACCTAGCAATTTCATTTAATACCTAATATATTTCATTAACAATAACTTCACTGAATTACCATGTCATTTTTCGGTATCCTATATGATTCGTTAAGAGATATTGTTTTCTAAATGTATAATTCTTCGAACATTGCAATAGTTGTTATTACCTAAATAACCCCTCTTTTTTCTATTAATCGAGCAGTAATTAATGGGTAGTTACATTCATACATATACGTATATGTATATATATACATATATATAGATATACATATACATATATATGTATATGTATGTATATGTACATATACATATATACGTACATATATATGTATATGTGAATTAGAAAAGGCATAGTTAGGGCCAAATATTTTTTTGGGTCACTTCGAGATTCACTATTATGAAAGCAACTGTTGAGTTTCTTAAAGTAGGAAGTGAAATGAATTTATGATAATATGGTTTTTTTCTGTATCAACTCAAAGCAAAAGAGATTTCATAACTATAAAAAGAAGAAGTTGGCTGACATGGTTGAGTTTTTTCGCAATTATGTTGCCTATTGATGTTATTTTTTCTGCTTCTGCTCACCTGTTCTTTGGATATATATCTTACTGTTTTTTTATCCAGGTTATGGCAATGGCACTGGTAACCGGGATGAACATTCTAACTATGTTAATTCCAACAACTTGCATGTCTTACCTATGGTGGGTTTTGATAAATTTTATATATATTTGCCTTTTTACTAAGTAGTGCCTGACAGACTAATAATTTTATTTTGTTTAGGCAATGTACAATGATAATGCATCACTTTACTATCCTCCTGGCTATGGCTTTGATTCCCAGATTGCATATGGACAGTTTTCTCCCCTTCCTAATCCTCTATCTCCTATGATGGTCGACAACCATCTGTTCTCGCCACACCAAATGCCTATGTCTCCGTCATACTATCCTCCACCAATTTCCCCTGGCCTGCCACATGTCACTTCGGCACTTCCAGTTGCACAGCCGGAATTGGTTCCATCAGCAAGTAGTGGGCAAGAAAATCTGAATGAAAATGCAGCTTTTGGGCCAGGATCAGGTTACTATTTACCTTTTGGATCTTTTGGTGGAGATATATCTGGAAGTAGTGGGATCGGTCTTTACAATATTTCTAGCGAGTTTGGATCTGGTGAACCATTTCCAAATCATCCTAGTGCCATAGAAACTAGCAGGCTCATGTCTCCATTGACTTCTGGTACTGTATATCCTCACCCAGTTGGTATACTTGGGGCATACGAGCAAAATGTTGCACAGGTTGGTGTACAATCCAGTATCTGTGTATATGCTCATGCATAGAAAGAATTCATTGACCTCTTTTCATATTATTTATTATTCCGTTGAGTAATTTGTGCTAGGTATATAATACTTTTAGTCATTTTATCTGCAAGTGGCGAGTCAATTGTGATTTTGACAAATCTCGTCGAAGGTTTGTTATATTTGGAAAACACATTACTGCTATAAATATATCTGGTAAAAACATACCACTCATATAAATATCTGTTAAAAAAATGTAACTTCTAAAATTATATCTGGTAAAACAACAGTTCGCCATAGTTCTCGCTAAATGCGTATTTTGTTTCATTTTTCTTTTTCTTATTCTTTTTCCTTCTTCAAATATTAATGCCTGACATATTATGCAATTGCAAATATCTCAATGGCAGGCTCCCATTCAAGGTTTTGGATTGATGTCAAATTCCTCATCTAGACATTATCCGCATGTTGGCTCTTATCAAAGCACTGGTGGGTACACTTCCAACCGGAATAGGTTTGCCACTGACAAAGGCAGAAGACATGAAGGGGATCAGGACTCTGCCGGTATTTCAACTGATTTGCTGGGTTTCTCAACAGATCGTAACCGCGGACCAAGGGCTTCAAAGACAAGAGGAAAGAGTTCCTCAGAATTGGGCTCATCATCTCGCATTAATAATGACGTAAATTCTACTTCTGGGTTTCACATTGATCAGTTCAATTCCCCAGATTTCATCACTGATTATGAAAAGGCCAAGTTTTTTGTTATCAAGTCTTTCAGTGAAGATAATATTCACAAAAGTATTAAATACAGTATTTGGGCTAGCACACCTCTTGGAAACAGGAAACTTGATGCTGCCTATCACGAAGCAAAAGAAATGAAAGGCACTTGTCCGGTCTTCCTGTTTTTCTCAGTAAGTTTTTTTGAACTTCCTTAACTGATGAAACTTGAATATGAGAACTAACGCATGCGAGTAATTAGTAATTACATTGAGAAGAAATTACTGATATTGAAATGGACTAGTCGACTTGAAATATAGTCATAGTAGTCTTCAAATACTATAATGACATTGTTATCTGATGGAATGTTCTGAAGTAATTGTGACATGTATCATTTATTTATTTCTGTGAACCTGTTACTAGAATGTATTTCTTTCCTATATCTCTACTAGTTCGGAACAGTGCTAACTTTCAAATCATTAATCTTAGTCAGTCCCCTCACTCCCATGTCATGGAGTTAAAGACCTGTCTTTTCAAGTTCTGCAATTTTAATGTTATTTTGTTCTTTATCTGTGCCAGAATTTGCATGTTGTTTGGGCTTGTGTTGTCATTTTTTTCCCTCTCTTCTCACTATGTTCCAAGGTAAAAGGTAATATTAGAAAAATATCAGCACTCAAACTGTCTTCAACCTTTGTTGATCTGGCCACTTACTACTTGGTTTTAAGTGCAAAGAATTAGACAAGACCGAGGTGTCAACCTTGTTCTTGCTATTTACTTTTGTTATCCGTCATCCATAAATAGAATGTGACATTGTAGTAATTGGGGAATGACCATCAGGAAGTTCGAGCGGTCAACGTGCGTTGCACTACTGCATTGGACATTTGTGCCCACATTAACATCATATAAGAAATTCAACATGAGATTATATCAAGTTTATTTTAGTTCTTTATATTAGACTAGTGAATTATTAGCCATTGCTTGTCATCCCATTCATCTGTCAGATGGAGCTTTCACATGTAAGTTGTGCCATAGTCATGTGGTGTATTTATTCTTTGTAAAATTGCTGGCTGTCTTCAATCTGCAGGTTAATGCTAGTGGACAGTTTTGTGGAGTAGCCGAGATGGTTGGACCAGTTGATTTTGAGAATGATGCTGACTACTGGCAGCAGGATAGGTGGATTGGGCAGTTCCCTGTCAAATGGCATATTATAAAAGATGTACCCAACACTCAATTCCGCCACATACTTATTGAAAATAATGATAACAAGCCTGTTACTCACAGTCGAGATTCTCAAGAGGTATTATTGTCTTGAAAAATTTTCTTTCAATCTTGAAAATGTTTTATTTTGCTAACACACTGTCACTTTTTTATGTTTTTTGTCTAAGATGTATTAACCACCTCAATCTTTTATGTTGGAAGGATCGACTACTAATTGTGTCTGGCCTGTTAGATATTCTCTAGCGGATGTTTCGTTGTTACATTGTGTTCATAGTTCCAACTCTATTTTTTCTGATTCCTAACTTTGGGAGGGACTGTGGGAGGAAGAGTATTTTCCATGCGATGATATGTGTGGGCATGTTGGATCAAATCAATATTTCTGAAAACTCATGACAGAGTTGAGACTTCATTTAGGAGTGTAGTCAATCCTGATAGTGCAAATGAGTCAAGGCCTCTCTTTGACATGAGGTTGCTGGTTTCTTTTAGACATGTAGTAATTTATTTGCGACCAGAACCAGTATCATATTTTGTCCATTGAATTTCTTCGTACTTAGTTTGGTAGTTTGGATGACCATCATTTACTGTTTTTCTTTACCTTCACGTTTCTTTATTTTATCTCAATCAATCTACTGTTTCTTTCAACATTGTAGAATTTCTTATTTCAGATAATAGTCCTCTTCTCTGCTGCTTTTAATGCTTCTACTCACAATGGCACACCGAAGTTTTATTTTATCTGTCTCCACATATAAACACTAGGTCTATCAATATAAATAGGTTCATGATTTACTCATGGTTGCAGCTCAATTTACCTTTGTGGTGTTTTGTTTCAGGTGAAACTTGAACAAGGACTCGAATTATTGAAAATATTCAAGAATCATGATGCTGAAACATCCCTTCTTGATGATTTCAACTTCTATGATGAGCGAGAGAAATCCTTGCTGGCGAGGAAGGCTAAGCAGCGAGCCAATTTAACTGGAAATACAGCATCTCTTGCTGCGGAATCAATATATTAACT